TGAATAAGTATCTGAAAATCAGCGATGACACCAGGTAAGGGTCAGATTGTCTTACCCTAACGGTCTCACCCGCCACTCACCCAATCTGCGCAAAAGAAGAACGCGTTTGGTTCCTGTAAGAAACATTTACTTTTATATGCATCCCTCAACCGTGCCAAGATTCACTGATGGTTTTGAACCGATAAAGTAAATAAATATAGACGATGGGGATACTGTGACACACCACCATGGACCAGGTTCAGTCCCTGTAAATGCTTTCTTGGGGGTCTTAAGTTCTATCAGTTATGTGATGACGATCATTGGATCGCCATGTATTGCGTCAATATTTATCAAGATGCCACCCTATAGCGAGGAAACAATTTAGTCTTAATCTCATACCAGTTCTCTGTTTTGGCACAGAATGATTGGCGTGCTGGTTGTCTCCCCTGTTCTATGAATCTTTCTTTCTCATCTTCACTAATGCCACTGGTCTTACGAGGATTTGATAAATTCTCTTTTTTCATTGTGCTTTAATTGAGCCCTGACAACACTAAACGGAACTCCCTTCGGATATCTTGCCATCAATGCTATTTAACCTAGCTTCAGCCAGTATACGAATACTATACTACCGGATGATTCTTCCTGGTCATGGTCCTAGTTGGACAGCACCATTTTTCCCGTGGTCGTGGGTTTCAGCAAAGTAGAAACGCTTGGGTATCTTCGGTCTTTCGTTCAACATGAACTTATACAGTGAGATACTGCCAAAACAGCGTTACACCAACTCATCCAATAAGAAATTATCAATACAAGTGTATGTATGTATCAAGACCTGTTAAATATTTCTTAATTTTAACATTCTTGTTACTTATTACAAGGGGCACACATAGCCCAGTCGTGTAAGTCGCCGCAATTCGCTGTGAAGAGTTGCGTCCCTTGGTTACGTCAGAAACCTGTGATCGTTGGTTCGAATCCCGGTTCGCCCCGGTTACGTTTCAAGGTTTGTCAGCACCATACCGCCGCCCGTGGGTGTCACCAAATTAGTGTGGTAAACGTCTGAGACCTGCATCACTCGGGGCTTTCTTACCACATTAAGCTGACACGCCGTGGTGTAACTTGAATAATGTTCAAAGCGGCGTTGAACCTAACTCACTCACTCACTTATAACAACCTTTGTTTAGAGGTGTTCTGAGAAAAAGAATGTTTTTCAGAGAGCGCTTATTGCTTTTTGATACATTCCCCAGACACTTATTAATGATGAAGGTAACTGAAGTCTAGGCAGCTAGTCAAATTCTTGTCTGGTACTTATTTTAAAGAGTGGGTGAGTGAGTGAGTATGGTTTTACGCTGCTTCTAACAATATCACCGCGGGGAACACCAGAAATGGTATTCACACATTATACCCATGTGGGGATTCGTACCCGATTCTTCAGCGTGACGAGCGAGCTCATTAACCACTAGCCTACCCCACCGCCCTTTTTTTAAAGATGTTTAAAATAATGGTATTTGCATGCGTTTTAGCAATAACTCTATTTCGTGATTTAGTCTACAGGTGCCTGATATTCCTACTTTGCTTACAGTAAGAATATTGTTATGCCCAAATATGTTTGACAAATTTATTTTTGAAATATAACTTGTAATTATGACATTGTTGATGATGTATTTGTTCTCGTCGCTATATGGCTATAAAATAATGCCGATGCGACGTTATGTACTTAACACTTTTAGACATGCCCTTTAAAAAACGAGGACGAGTATCCCGTGCATGTCGATCGGGCCGTGGACACGTCTGTTCACTGAACCGAGCCATGTGGAATGAGACGTTCGTGACACATACACACGCGGGCACACTTTAATGCTTCCTTGTGCAACGAACTTTTACGTATTCTGTATGCAGGAAGGTTTCGCCCCATGAAGTCATGAAGTCAGAGCAAACAAAATAAACTTGAAGATGAGGATGTTGTTGATGACCCCCCCTCACGACTGTCTGTCGGTGTAACAGAGGTATATTCCAACATTACCCATTTCATAAGGTCAAAATTTCAAAAGGTCGGAGATGGAAATCCTCAGTTAAATTTGTACTTCCGTATAAAACAGATTATATCTATTCCTATAGAAGTAACAATTACATCCAATAACCGTAAACTGAGGGCCAATGAAAAGATAATGTAAAGCATCTTCATCATGGTGTCATCTAAAAAACTATCTATGGTCTTTCAAATCACTGCAACCGGGGCACATATCGTCGCCGACGTTAATATGTCACGATTGGCGACAATATATGCCGACTATACGTGTTGTTAGAGGCGACTAACGGGATCGGGTTGTCAGGCTCGCTGATTTGATTGATGAATGTCATCGCATTCCAATTGCGCGGTTTGTTGCTCATGATATCAATCACTGGATTGTCTGGTCCAGATTCGATTAATTACAGAACTCCGTCATAAAGCTGGAATTTTGCTGAGTGCGGCGTTAAACAACAAACAGTAGGGTTTCCAAGCTCAAAGAATCACATAAGCCTCTGCTACGTGTAAGTGAATGAGCGTGGTGATGTCAGCTGGATGTGGGAGGAATGCACGAACTGCATAGACGTTAATCAATTTGGTTAAACCAACAAACATAGAGACATCATCGGGGATTCAACCCTCGATCATAAGTTTCCGACACACAACTCTATAATACTGTCAGCGTTGTTGCAATATACTGGATACCCAAAATGTATAGAATAAGAATACTCAGTATTTTCTACATAGATTCTTTTTACATGTAGTCTTCCTAGTCGTATTAGAATGTAGTCCCCAGCAACCTCGGCGTGCTGTAAGAGCTGGTATAGTGCGGCGTTAAACAATAAACAGACCAACAAACAGTCAGACAGACAAACAAGCAAACGAACGTATAACCAATGTTTGACCTCGAAGTTCATAGACATTTTCCTCAACTTCATTTACTCAATGAATCATTTCATCGAGTAAAGCATTGGGACTAGGAGGAAACTGTCGTCTAATATCCACACTTCGCTTGTTACGAACCACCGACAACTCGATGTTTCTTACTTCAAGTTAATATATTTTTTCTTTATGATATGTGATAAAAACCTCACATGGTTGTTTAACGTCACACCAACATTCCAAATACACGACGTCGGTCTGTAAATATTTGAACCACTGAGTCTGTCAACCAAACAAACCTTGAAACCCGAAACGGAAGTGACAGTGATAATAATATGGGTATATAATGTTTCTACGTCAGGACATATTTTCAGTTGACAGGACACAATCAATAAACACTTGGTACACATATAACAAAACAAATCACTCAGCCCTGGTGGGTTCAAGGTTGATTCAACGCACTGGCGAATTCACGCGGACACGTTTTTCTTCATGTGACGAGTACTGAAAGCATAGTCGGTGTCAAACAAATGTCGGTGACACGAGGGCTATATAATACAATGTCGGTGACCCAAGGGCTATATATACCTCGTCTCGGTGTGGGAAAATAGCCTAGTACCATTGCCAAAGGAACATCGACCATAAAGGTTTTTCAACGGATGGTTGAAAATGACTAGAAAGTCCTACTGTATTAAAATATTTACTTATGGCAAGTATGTTCAGTTTCATTCCCTTACAGACATTCCAACGCCATGTCGCCATGTAGGCTGTGGAGACAATCATGACACCAATGCTTAACAGTTTATTTGGAGTTCCAATTTTTAATGATATCCGCAGAGTGGGTATCACACTTGATGAAGTCCGTTATGTAACCTTTGGGGGAAGTTAAGATTCAGCGTTAACCATCTTTACAGAGGTAGTCTCAAACATCAACAGCTTGATTGTCACATAAAATGCAATTTTATACTCAGTCTGGTAATTAATGCTTCAGAAGTACATTGGTTAAAAAATATAATATTTTCCATTCTGTCCTTTAATATTATATATAGCAATACTCAACTCGAATCATATCTTTGACATTAAAAGACACCGCGTTGAGATTTTCTGAATGTCCGGGCCGCTTGCAAAAAGCGACCTTCGCCCTGAGTGAGTGAGTGAGTATGGTTTTACGCCGCTTTTAGCAATATTCCAGCAATATCACGGCGGGGGACACCAGAAATGGGCTTCACACATTGTACCCATGTCGGGAATCGAACCCGGGTCTTCGGCGTCTTCGCCCTGAGACCATCGTATACTCCCTTACTTTAACAAAGACTTTCAATACTCTAAGTGCTAAGATTGCTTTGTGAAATTGGGCCCTTGAAAATATGTTTGCTTCTTTGTTTGTTATTTAACGCCACACTCAGTAATATTCCAGCAAAATGACGGCTGTCTGTAAATAATCGAACCTGGACCAGTGATTGACATCATGCGCATTGATCTACGCAACTGGGATACGATGACATGCATCCACCCGATCACGTTAGTCGCCTCTTACGACAAACATAGTCGACATCAACAATATCGTCATCTCCAAGTTTATTTTGTTTGCTCTGACGAATAACGACTATATGTGTAGTGCACCTCGGCATATATTGTCGCAATAACATCGCCTTTTACGACAATCATAGATTGCTGAAGAATTAGGTCAGGTTCTAATTACTTGAGACATTTTGAAACGAGTATGTTGCATGGTTACATGGTAATAACTAGTTTCTTTGTTCCAGAAGACCGCCCAGACCAAGCCTATTGAGTAAATTTGCAGATGGCATTATTAAAGAATGAATTGAATTGGCCTGGTTTTATGGGTATAGTGATATAGTTTGGTTTAACCCCGCTTTGAACAGTTATATCACGGCATGTCAGCTTAGGAGGAAACGCTCGAGGTGAAACACACGAGCATGGGTATGATGCTGACGAAGGCAGGGAGAAGCTGGGATTAGAACCCACGATCTACATAACGTAACGGTGTACAAACGAATAGCGGCGCGTTAAACGACCTTTCCACACGTGCCCTTGATTCAGATAGAGTTATGCTACTGAAGTGATGCAATGTGAAGAGACATTATATATCTACATATTGTTTATATCGTTCCAGGGTCATACACGGAGAGACATAGGGGCAACATAGGTTGGAGTCTTACAGGACGGTGCATGGCGTTGTTGGTCTAAGACGTCATTGTATGTAGTATTACTGGTCAAAGGACACAGAACTATTAATCATGTCATCGAAAACCAAAGACAGTCGAGCCTTCCTCGGGAACAACAATAATCACATGGCGACGAAACCGGATGAGGAAGTCATATCGGAAGATGAAGTGTATTGTGGGATAGGTGGGTGCCGACCGACTGCTTTACAGTGCTGTGCAACCATGGGCGTATTCTCGGCAATGTACAGTTTGTCAGGCTTGCTGACTTCCACTGTCTCCATCTACATCAATTCGCAGATCACCACATTAGAAAAACAGTTCGGGTTCAGCAGTTCCGTCAGTGGCTTCCTCCTCAGCTGCAACGACATCGGCTACTTGCTGACTACGCTAGCCATGAGCTACATCGCTCGCAGGACCCACATTCCTCGGGTGTTGGGTCTGTCTACCATTCTGTTTGGAGTCTCGGGCCTTATTTGCAGTATTCCGTATTTTGCTACCAAAAATGACCTTCACCCCTGGGTCAATTCAACAGGGATGAACACTTCTCGGCTCCTTGGAGGACGATTTTGTACCATAGGTCAAAGTCATAGTATCAGTAACTTTTCTGATGGTGACACTTGTTTAGACAGGCTAGATTCAGCTAGTATTGCGAACATACCCGAGTCTACAAGAAGTTTCGCGATTGCTCTGATAGCAATCGGAATGATCCTCCAAGGTTTCGGAAAGTCACCTCGCTACCCGTTCATCGCAACATACGTTGATGATAACGTAGAGAAAACGAAGACAACCTTATACCTTGGTAAGTTGATTCATTTATATGTTTCCATCACAAGGCTAGCGTCCCAAATAGGATCTCGTCGAGCCACTGGTTAAATCAAGCCCCCAAACACTCTATTGCCATTATGAGATTTGAGAACCTTCTTGTCGATCAACGTATATGCCCCTTATGTAAACAACGTGATTGGGAAAAAAAGTTCATTTTTGAATTGTCCCGTTTATGATTTCTTGCGCCTTAAACTTTTGCTAAACGCCTGTTATCTTAAAATGATAACAGTTCATTTTAGTTGAAAATCTACAAAACAAAACAAAACATCTAGCCAAAACCTGCTTTGATATTTTACAACGACGTAGAAAGATGATATTATCACTGATGTTACACTGCAATCACGAAAACGTCGTTTTCCCTCGTATATGGTCATTGGACGAAAAAATGACGGTTTGGGGACGCATTATAACCATCTGTCTAAGATACGTCGTTATTTGACATCGGAATTTACTGCGAGAGAACAATGTTATTATATTATTCTAAAAGTAATTGAATAAAGGTTGTAAAATACTCTTCACTACATTCTCTCATAATTCAATAAGGAATGGCTTTTTTATTTTAATTCAAATGTGCGATGTATCAAAACGTTACTAGGCTGAAAACAATCACCAAACACTCAAAACTTAAGGGTCAAAACACCCGTATCAAGTACATAAACGTCGAATGCCCATTTCCTGTTTGTTTCCTTTTCAAGCACCATCAAACATGGGTGTGTACTTTCTTTTGTCCGTCAGTTTACTCTGAATGCTACCATGTAATAGCCGGAAGTTCGCGATATTTATTGAAAGTCTCGTTAGATCAAAGTGCGAGAGGCGAAAACCGTGGCACTGGCATTGAACTATTGATTGGAATAATGTTCAAAAATATTTCGCGATAACAGTGTTGCGATAAAATATACTTAGATGTGAGTAAACATCAATTTTCTCAGTTGAATCTTCACAATTTGTATCTTTCATACTTCCGATTTTACCACCAATTTGTACATATGTAGTTTGATTACCGTTGTTTAAACCTGGTTATTTTGCTTTTACGGTGACATTGTGAAAAGGGAAATTCATGCTTCACGTGTTTATGACATACATTATCATATTTCAGCATAATAAAACAAGATAGGATAAAGGCATTTGTATTAAATATACAACAATAAATGCAACGTAAAAATTCTGATAATAAATACGAACATTTTATATATAAATTATCATATCGCTGGCGTCGTAAGTCTTTAACAGTGATCTTGTTTTAGTGTGACTTGACTTGTGACCTTCCCACATGTGTAGCACATTTTCATCCAGTGCACAACGCACCCAGGTATTTTGTGCAGTTTGGACGTCAACTATTTAAAACCCTTTTTTCGGTGTGAGAATTAAAAGAAATTCAGTATGACCATATCGAAGATTTCAAACATATTTTCTTGATTACGTTTAATCAATTATATAAGGTATCTACCCGATAAATCGCAAAGAACAATGAACAATTTCTTGATAAAACATTGTTCATGACGTCATTTCTGAAGATTCGAACATGCGCTCTCAACGTCATGACGTCGTAAATTGGACGACGTTATTTTTCAGAGGGAAGTGTCTAGTGAGTTGTTCCCGATTGATGAAGCAAGGCAACGCAGTGGCCAAACGCAGTGGCCGAACGATCGTTCCATAAGTGGGAGAGATATGACAATCGATATTGGGAGAAAAGGTATAGATAATCGACGTGACCATTGTGAGAATATGCCGGAAAGACCACATTTAGAACCTGTTCATACAATGGACTTGTCCGACATTGCCACGTTCGGATTCTATTCAAGGAGACATCATTATTTAAATATGGGTAAATATCTTAAAGCGTGTACTTTTTACTAACATCCTTAACGAGGCTGTACATAATGTTGATAGCTCATATAAGAAATAAACGACTCATGGTCGTTGTTTATCGTACAATAAAACACTGCAGGGAGAATAAACCACTAGGGGCGCCACGCATGGTTTATTCTCCCTGCAGTGTTTTATTGTACGATAAACAACGATCAAGAATCGTTTATTTCTTAAATCACTAGAGCATTAGGCATGTGCTGCCAGGATACAACAGGGCATTAGTTTGTAGACATTGGTAGAAGGAGGAGGCAAAGGATGAGGATGCAGGGTCTTGGCCCGTTCTAAGTGTGTTGGGTTAATCGGGGTTTGAACAGTATGTCAGTCATATCACGGCTTGTCAGTCTAATGTGGTAGAAAGCCCAAAGTGGCGCAGGTTTTAGACGTCTACCATTTAGGTGAAACCCCCAAGCACTGGTATGTGCTGTCAAACCATGGACCATGAGCAGGGCAAATTTTGGATTCGAACCCCGATCAGCTGATCTTGCCACTGCTAAGGGAAGTGACTCTCTCCGTTTCCGCCTTAACGCAAATAGTATCGCAAACATGTATAGGTAAATCACATCAGTTTGCTCTGTGCTGGTTGCACCATCAGGAAGATGGAGGGCACGGGTGGCCCATTCGTCAGGGGCCACGATTCGCTGTGCAGAGTTGCGTCCCTTGGGCATGTCAGAAACCTATGATTGTGGGTTCGAATCCCGGTTCGCCCCGATTATAATTCTTGGTTTGTCAGCACCATACGCGTGCTCGTGGGTTTCACCGAAGTGGTAAACGTCTGAGACCTGCATCACTTCGGGCTTTCTTCCCACATTAAGCTGACACGCCGCGATATAACTGGAATACTGTTAAAAGCGGCGTTAAACCCAACTCACTCCCTCACTCATCAGGAAGATGTTAATCAGAAGTATGACAGCAACATACCGCTGACCCTCCCCATGTCCATGTACATCTTTTCATGACCCTCTCTGAAAAAACAAAATGCAAAAGCACATTTTATATGATTAAAAAAAATCCATTTTTTTCATGACCCTCCCCAAGTAAGTATAATGGGAACATACGTTGATACAGAAAGGTACGAAAAAAAGCATTACAGATTTAGTGTACAGAATTAAAATCACGAATATAGTCAACGTTACGGTTCGCCTTCATAAACAACAAGGTTATCTAAAGTTGGTGACCTTTGAACGGACATACGATTGGGACAAGTTCTCTCTGTTGCAAATGTCATTGCCGAGTATTTATTGGTATCACAACGGATATCCTGAAACAAATTGCGACAATGTTTTATTCTGTATCCTTTTCTAAATTAGGGTTATTGAGAGAGAGAGAGAGAGAGAGAGAGAGAGAGATAGAGAGAGAGAGAGAGAGAGAGAGAGAGAGAGAGAGAGAGAGAGACTGTTGGTTTTGAATGTTCAATCGATTGATTGATCAGTGTCAAGTTGAACACTTTTGGGAAATGCTTAAGCGTATTTTCTTAAGAAGTAAGCTTGAGTGTTTTCAACAAATTCAAGTATATGATGGGGGAGAATCTGGAATTCAAACCCATGACCAGCGGATCAGCGGATCCTGGTACGGCTAGGGGAAACAACTAAGTAGGATTTCCATGAACAGCTGGTGTTATCCTATTACAATATCACCAAAAAGAGTAAGGAAGAATTGTTTTACAATATTTTTTAAAAGACCAGTCGCCATTTCTCAAAAGTAAAAGTGAAAAGTAACCGTTAGGCGAAGTTGTACTTGCAACTCACAAAATTGAAAGATTAGAGCCCACCAGTACTTTCTTACTGAAAACACGAGCCTAATGATGAGCAGCCAAGACCAAGTTGACAGACTGTTGTTGAGTAGCAAGAAAGTTTTATGAATTAAACAAACAGAACATTAAAACTTAGTCCGAGAACCAACGATTTCCTCTCGTTACAGGAATCATCACCGGTCTGAGTATATTTGGGCCAGCTATAGCATTCACGCTAGGTGGCGTGTTCAGCAAGATCCCTGTTACGTTGGAGGGTAAGTACGTCAGCACATCTTTCGGGCATTTTCGGCTTATTCCGCCTCATAGGACAGTCATTATGTCAAGTGTGTAAATTCAATGGAAGTAGTACCACATTGGTTTCTGCGGCCAATGACAGAGGTATCTGTTGAATAGCTTTCTGGAACAGGTCATCGCAAGGAGTAAATATTTAATGTTCACACATTGTAAACATAACTTTAAAGTCTCGGGGGCGTATGTTTTGGAGAAAATATTTCATTGGTATGAAATAAAATGCGGGAAAATATGACTCACGACAGGAAAAGGTTCAAGTTTTGGTAAGATATCCGATTGTTATACCACGTCTTAGAAGCGTCGATTGTGTAACGTATTACATAATTTAAGGCGCAATCTTTAAACATATATAACAAAGTCTGTGCTATGACCAAAAAAATAATAACACCCCTCTCTAACCCTAGCTACCACTCTCACCCCCCGGGATCCTCGATGGATCGGGGCGTGGTGGCTTGGCTTCCTCGTGTTCGGGATAGGTGGGGTTCTCGCCAGCATCCCACTCTTCTTCTTCCCCCGGCGCATTAAACCACGTGACCGAACAGTCGCCCAAATAGAGGAAAGGAGGAGGATTAGCTTTAAACGCGACGTAACAGGTGAGTTACTTACTTTTATCGTATGAAATATAGGTGGTGGCGGTATAGTATAAGGGTGATGTAGGCCAACAAAAGGGCCATTTGCACCCGATATGAAATGTATTTGTAAGATCGAGTTATCTCCCTTCGTAAGCATTCAAATCCTCTCGGTTCTACTTGGCCTCATACCGGGTCCATCTTCCAGAGGCAAGGGAATTAACTGACTATAACAATGTCCAACCTTCCGAGCTTGGCTGGAATGATGGAGTTATTATTTTAGCGGGACTAACGAGTCTATGCATAGTCCAATCAGCATCGCGTACGAAATCGACATTTGGTTCGTAAACAACATGGCGAATGCCCTGCAGATTTCGGTCGATTGCAGGATTTGCAGAGCATGTGTTCCGTCAAGTTGGCGTTGACAAATGTTTTCCAAATCTCTTCATGCTTTTAATCAAGGTGCTCGAGTGATTTGATGTTTTTTCACGAGGAAAGACCTATTCTATCACAATAAAGATATTGATTGTCGATCAGATCGTCTTGACTGGGCGCCGCCATTTTGTTTGAAGCAAATGCAAGTGATATTGACAGGTAATTGGTCAAAAGGAAGGACGTACGAGGGACATAACTCGTAATAACTGGTGGCGCTATGATAGAGCCACGAAATTCCAGCCTTGTTTCGGCAAGGTTGGAAACTGGACTTATACAGTCAGAAAAGATCCTTGCCCCGGGCAGATGTACTGGATCGTTCCATTATGGGGTTCAGTCGCAGTGATTTTAATATACAATCATAATTAAAGGGTAATATTGGGGTTTTGATTTTGTTTGTAGACCTGATATGGCCTATAGAGAATTAAAAATACTTTTTTTTATTTTCATGTGAAAAGAGTTGCTGAAGGCGGTGATTCGGCTGTTGACCAATCCTATTTACATGTGTATGGTGTTCGGTGCCTGCCTCAACTTGTTCGCCATCAGTGGGATGTTGTCCTTCCTGCCTAAATACATCGAAGTCCAGTTTCAAATACCAGCATGGAAAGCAAATATCATACTCGGTACGTATGTTGGTACATTCACGCCTCCGTGGTCCACTGGATATAGTGGCTGCTCGGAGGGCGGGGGGTCTATGGCTACTATCTCCTGTTCGCGTCATCTCAAAAAGTCGTTAAAATGTGGTACTTGTTGTTACCGTGCGTGACGCTCGGCAGTAAGAGAACAACACAACGAGTGGGTCTGAGTAGGGTATCCATGTTAAACTGCGGCATGATTTCCCAGTTGGTCAGCTCAATTACATTGGCATGAGTCCACGCACGCACGCACGCACGCACGCACGCACGCACGCGTATAATGATTTTGAATTAGAACACCATTTCACCTCACATTCGCTGATGATGTATATATAATACTTGCCGCATGAGGTCCTCATGACGTATATACAAGTTATCCTAGGAAGAGATCACGCAAATTGTCGAGTACTGTACATTACATACGGATTGAATATTGATTATACCGATAGATTTTAATGCAATGGGGTCAACTATGACATATTTCGCTTTCTGTATTGGAGTGTAAGTATCTCTCAAAGTGTGATAATATGGCCGTTATTCAATAAAAAGAAATGTTGCACAATTACTTTACCTGAAGGTATTCTCTTGGTTGTAATGGCTTCCGTGCTCTAGGCCTGGGTTCGATCCCCGGCCGCATCGTACCAAAAGACGTTAAAAAATGGTACTTGTTGTTACCCTGTCTGGCGCTCGGCATTAAGGGGCTAAAACAAGGACTGGTCGGCTCGGAGTCAGTATACTGTGTCTGAGTGGGGTATTCATGTTAAACTGCGGCATAGTATCTCAGTGAGCTAGCACTATAAATCGGCATCAGTCCGGAGTAGTACAAGCAGCCACACACACACGTGCATACACGTCGCTATATAAGTGCAATAATCTTGGACCCCATTTCACCTCACCTTGGTTGTAATGAATCGAGTCAAAGGTTTCCAGATCTTACTGTGAGTGACAGGAGATCTGCGTGGTGGACTTCACCAACAAATACATAATATATCACCTTACACATATCTTTTAATATTGCAAGAGGGTTAGTGATTCATTCAATGTATGGGGCGAACGGCCCAGGTCCTCGTTGCACAAAGCGATCTTATACTACAACGATCGTAAGCCTGTGTTAAAGTATGGGAGTTACGACGATCTTAGCACTACGGTTGCTTAGTGAAACGGGTCAAGGGCGTATCGAAGAATCCATTGATTCTCATAGCTGGGACAAGCGGTGTGAAGATTTTAAACGATAACATCCTTCCTGCCATGAACTTACATTGTCTTGATTAATCGATTTCCTGGACAATGATATTTCCTGTAGATGCTTCGCGTCAACAGATGACGGCAGTGAAATGTCAGTAATTAGGGTCAAGTTCTTTTAGTGTTGACGAGGACACGGGTGGTCAAGTCATCTACGCCGCCGCAATTCGCTGTGCAGAAACCTATGATCGCGGGTTCGAATCCCGGTTCGTCCGATTATGTTTTTAGGTTTGATAGCACCATACCTGTGGATTTCACCAAAGTGGTAAACGCCTAACACTGGATCACGTCGGGCTTTCCTCCCACATCAAGCTGACATGTCGTGATATAACTGAAATACAGCTAAAAGCAGCGTTAAAGCCAACTCAGTCACTTACTGTGGCAATTTAAGATCAGGCTTTCCCAGAGATCCTTTGGGTTCATATATTTCCCGAGTAAAGAGTCTTTGTTAGAGTAATAGCCTTACGTTGGCCGGTATGTGGGGTTTCCGGCTAAGCAGGATCCGGGCTAACGGGGTTTGTCTGATCACTGACAATGTCTGATGTCTGATGAAATTCCCTGTGTTGACTTATTTAAAGTGACTTTGCATGTGTTTGTGACGGGTTCCACTGGTGGGAACACCTGGCATCAGACATGGATACTTGCTTATGATATAGTCAGAATCGTGCAATGGATTTCTTAGGATTATGTGATTGGGTTTATCATGTTTACTGACAAGCCTCATCTCCACGTTACAGGTGCCCTGAACCTCATTGCTGCTGCTGGTGGTTCCATGTTAGGGGGCATCATCACCTCCAAGCTGAAGATGCGGCCCATCACCTGCATTATCTTCCTCACAGTGATAAACTCCGTCTCCGTGCTGCTGAGCTCTAGCGGCTTCTTCCTGGGCTGTTCCCAACCCGACATCGTGGGGCACCATACCACCCAGCTGATCAGGTGAGCGTAACGTGGACAACAGAAGTTGTAGCAGAATAACGAGGGAAACATGGGGTTTTATGCGTTAGGTTATATGCCACGAGCCGGAATGGTATAAATCCTAACGGGGCACGCATAAAACCCAATGTACCCCGCGTGATCCTTACACAACGAATTTATCTTACCGTCATGTAAAATAATTAAGACAAATTCAAAATTGATAAAGCATCTGTTCGACTGAGCTGAGATCAACTTGTGCTATGTCACGTGACCTCTATTGACTCAGAAAAAGCGTGCGGCATTTTGCTTTGAAGCGGGGTATAAGGGATTTGTTCTGTCTCTCAGCGGTGAAAAAGGGATTTAATACTCAGCTGAGTGAGTGAGTGAATTGGATTTAACGCCGATTTTAACAGTATTCCAATTATATATCGCGGCATGTCACTTTAATGTGGGAGGAAAGCCCGAAGTGATGCAGGTCTCAGACGTTTACCACTTTGGTGAAACCCAGGAGCACGGGTATGGTGCTGACAAACCTAGAAACATAATCGGGGCGAACCGGGATTCGAACCTACAATTATAGGCTTCTGGCGTGCCAAAGGGACGCAACTCTTCACAGCGAATTGCGCTGATTGCTGATATTTGTTAACTTAAGTGAGAATGCCCCTTTAAAAGTGTCTATAACTTGTGACAATTCACGTATTAGTCACCACCTGATAATACCACAAATCCAATACAAATTATCGTGTTCAATTTGAATTTGTATTTACAAAGTGACTTTCCTTGAGAAAACACGTAGAAATGTACTTTCCGTCTGCAGTGTTAATATCTTAATTCATTATTCAGAAGATGTAAACGTTGGACGCATGGTCCGTGGTGTAATACGTGGAACACGTGTTGTAAGTTATAATAATGATTTGTGTGTGCTTATATTGCGCTAGTATCCATACACAAGATGCATTCTCAACTCGCTAACATTATTACCCCGGTCCATGGGTCAGCGTGCTCTCTATGCTCATTCTCAGCTCCCTGGGGAATATACAATACCTCTAAGGTACAGACTGCTGATAACTTCAAGAATCATACAAAGGCAGATCTTCAGGCATAACTGGGGCTGGGGTGACCCAGTCGTCTGAGGTGCCGCAATTCGTTATGCAGAGTTGCGTCCCTTGGGAGGGCCAGAAACATGTGGTCGTGGGTTCGAATCCCGGTTTATGGTCCTAGGTTTTTCACCACCACATCCGTGCGTTTCATCAAAGAGTCAAACGTTTGAGACCTGACCCCCTTAGGGCTTCCCTCCGATATCAGGTTGGCATAACTTTACTGAAATAGTGTTCAAAGCGGCGTTAAACACCCAACTCACTCACTCAGACACAACTTGCAATGTCTTATGAAAAGAATATAGACCTACATGCTTATAAATGTGCAACACTATCACCCCCCAGTCGTGGAATGAGGGCCCTCAACACGTATCAGCCAGTTGTTTAATGTGCCTGGGTAACATCACCCTGACCTATATTACCTACGCTCACGGAGGAAAGCGCACGTTAAATCTCCTATATCAGTAGAGTAGATTCATGCAGCTTAAATAAATAACGCGTAGCTGATATAACATGTACAAGCCCGCTTGCTTTGTCCTTACACCGATATACCGCCTGCATGCAAGTACACCCGATAGCTGTGCTGCCTTGCTGGAGTGTTGAGCGAGTTGACGCCAGGAGGTCATCGTCTACAAGAGTACAGTGTGACCTCGATCACATTTATTAAAATTGTGAGGATTTAGAATCAGTCCCATAACTCAAACCAAAAGCCCTGTTTTATACAGTGTATTGCAATGAAGATTTATTTTGTATTTTTATTTATTTTGTTTTATTTTTACTTTAGTTTTCTTTAGTTTTCCTAGATATGATTAAAGAAATACAATAAAGACATTTTTCACGTCATTTCTTTAAGACATTGACTTGAATGTTTAGTGGCAGAATGTTGTTGCTTTTATTCTGACAATGATTCTGGGATTATCATTTAAAGAAACTCTGTGGAATATGACTTAATTTGAGTTCCGTGCGGCGATAAACGAAAAAAAACTGTGTATGGTGTTTTATACCATTATCCCCCTTTACTCGATGCATACTATTGCACCACTGGTTTACATTGCGACATGCGCAAACACTCGATCTGTATTTCTATTGACCTATATACACATCTGCGGCATGTAAATCTGCCCTCTTTTCTGAAGGAAATAACTCTTACCAGAATGACAAATTGTCAACACGTTCACTATTTTCGCCATGTGTTAATATATTTTGTTGAAATAACAATTGAAGCCAAACAGTTTAATTTAAAGAAAATAGTTTTTTTATGATAAAAATGGGACAACGTAATTGTATAATATCTCTTCGTTGTTTTACGCCGCAGTCAGAAATGTTCCATCAATAACAAGACGGCCTGTAAATGATAGTCTGGGCTAGACAAACCAATGGTTGATGAAATGAGCAATGACCCACGACATCGACACTCAATTATATATATATTTCCAGTAACACCACGACACCACCACTGACCTGCACATCGAGCTGTGGTTGTGACGTCAACGATTTTTTCCCCGTGTGTGGCGAGGATGGGATGAGCTACCAGTCCCCATGTCACGCCGGATGCCCGTCATCTGACACAGAGGTAACACATGTCTTAGTTAATTATTTATGGGCAATAGACACTAGAAAGAGGCTTCAGACATTGGGGAATCTAACATGGGTCTTTGTCGTGACAAGTGAGTTAGTATGGTTTTACGCCGCTTTTAACAATATTCCAGCAATATCACGGCGAGCAAACCCTTTAACCACTAGGCTACGCGACCGCCCCTCGGCATGACGAGCGAACGCTTTATCCACAAGGCTTTATCCACATCGCCCTGCAGGGCACATCAATTATCATATTTACTTGTCCTGAATTTAGATGTTCTTACTCGTGGATGTCCGCTGTAAGTACCTATCTGAAGGAGAAGGTCGATCACTTTAAATTTATCAAATATTCATTGTATGCGGGAGAAATTTTGTTAGCAAATTTGAGAACATTCAGTGCCGCTTCCTTTAGGCAATTTACATAGGTAGTGACAGTGACAGATGGAGGCAAGAGGGATGGGAGAGGGATGTCGTAGTCAGTGCAAATAAATCCTGGAGCCCGTTCTTGATGCTTTTCAAAATTTGATGTGCTGGTCTTGGTACAACAGTGACACATAATGGGGCGAATGATAGATGTGTAGAGAACAATCTTACCCTGCCAAGTCAGGTAGTGGTCCATGTGTTGTTTCGCAGCTTTCATCCACCTGTAGTCGTTGGTAAATCAGCATGCTCAGTCCTAGACCTTAACGCGATATACACATAAGGGAGCAACCATTATTTTTCACATATTCTCTTTTCCAGAATGGTTGCTCCCTAAAATGATCTATAACCTGTACTCGTAGCAGTCTATTCACTTGAGGCTGTGTATGATTGCAATATGGCGTAGAACATTATCTCTAAACGCAGGTTTACAAATACAGAAACAATGTTTAAACGGCTGCGCCCATCCTCTATATCCCAAGGGCTCGAATTTCGATAAACTTACACAAACCCCAGGATCCCTACCCGTGGCTCTCGCGATTTTAAAGTATCCGCCCTTGATTTTCATTTACCGACCAATCAGACGTCGAGATAAGGGAAAAGGAAATGGGGCTTGCCCCCGCCAGTTTTAATGGACAACCTTTCAACAAGATTTTTGAAAGCTTTCTTTTGCGTGTCTGTCAGCTTTTCGATGTTGAACTTTTCGCAAACTCTATCGTTATCCATGCGACTTACCGCCATGGTGTTGATATCGCCAACCCAACATTGAGGCTGGTTTGTAACTCCCATTCTAATTGGATCGTTAGATTGAGTAGCCTAGCAAATCAAATTGGCTAATGAAAATCAAGGGCGGGTGATTTGAGATCGCAAGAACCACGTGAATAGATCCAGGGTAGACTGACATTTAGTCCCAAAAATACATTTATCTTATTCAAAAATATATATCTACAAAATATGAAAAATAAAATCTTAATGGAGCCCCGAACAATCCTAGAACCGAAGCGATTTGAACTTGCCAAACCATTCTAGACTGCTAGTTGGACTTCTTTTCAATATGTTCTCCAGGGTCTGGGTGACCGACAAGATCCAGATGTGAGTGTAGGTGGAGATATGGAGGATGGGTGGCACTGCTCCTATCCACAAACCGGAGGATACATTTATCTAAGCGAACTCAAGCACACTGGTTTGTTTCAGTATTACACGGGGTGCGCGTGCATCTCCGGCAACTCCACAGCAGTGCCTGGTCTGTGTGAGAGCGGCTGCAGCAACCTCTACCCCTACATCGCCGTCATGTTCTTCGGTGCCTTCACAGCGACCCTCGGAATGATGCCCGGATTTATCGTCACAATTAGGTCAGTAGAGATGAACCTTATACATCCGCCATGTTCACAAAGCACTCTGGTCACTTGTAAGTGGGTGGGTAAGTGAGTGAGTGAGTTGGGTTTAACGCCACTTTGGACAGTATTCTCGTTACATCACGGCGCGTCAGCTTGATATGGGAGGAAAGCCCGAAGTGGTGTAGGTCTCAGACGTTTACAACCTCGGTGAAACCCACGAACACGTTTATGGTGGTGACAAACCTAGAAACATAATCGGGGTTAACCAGGATTGGAACCCACAATCATATTTTCTGGCGTGCCAAAGGGACACAACTCTGCACAGCGAATTGTTGCTCCTTAGATGACTGGGCCACTCTCGCTTCCATCCATCATAAGTAATACATACATGACCCATCATCGTTATTTGTACACACTGTAGATAATCGTATATAATTAGGTAAGCTGAACTAACTATCACGTGCGTTTTTCCTGGTTAAATAACTGGCCACCCGTCTTCAGCAACCCAAGCTTGTCATAAGAAACGACTGTGTTGTCGTAAGAGACAACTAACGGGATCGGGTGGTCAGGCTCGCTCATTTCATTGATGCCTATCCCAATTGCGGAGATCGATGCTCATGATGTCAATCAATGGATTGTCTAGTCCCTACAGCTGGAATATTGCTGAGGGCTGCGTTAAACAACAAACAAACAAATAACTGGCACATTTTAATCTTGTTCAAGACCCAATAACCACCTGTTTATTCCGTTTTATCTTTGACCGTCTAGTCTAGATAAAGGATGTGTGAATTCTTGATGTTAAGATGTCCTCTTTCTGAAATGGTTCTTTATGTCCTGATACGGAAATTTGGATCGAAGAAATAAAAAGAACACAAATATACCCTAGAAAGAGTGGATGCACTGCCAGGGCGCATGAAACGACAGGATATGTAAAATATTCACAACAAATAATAGCACGGCTTTAAGCTTTTGCATTCGGAACTCCTCGATTATAACCGCTCCCGAGATACAGAAATCGGATACGCTTGTCTAAATGCCTCGCTCACTCATACAGGGAATTGCATTCGTCACCACTCGCCTCTTTCCGTAACCTGCAAGAAGCTATTCGGCTTGTTCCGGAACTGCACGAGTTTGTCATGAATGCGGGAATTGAGATGCATCGACGTTAATTAAAAGATTTTAAAGCTTACATGACGCGACCTCGTACAGAGGTGTTCTCAGATCTTCACGGAGAAAGGCATCGTGTTAAAGTAAAGGGTCTGATTTTAATGAGATTACAGCCAACAGTGCATTAACTTCCACTCATGCCACACTGAGTTATCCCCCTTTAAGTGTGTGTTGTGTCCTGAAATTTAAACGAAGCTAAACAGGAAACTCATTAAAATCCGATGATTTATTTCATTTTTGGGCAGAAATATGTAAACTCATCCCTCGGAGCCGATGATTAGAAAATCGACTGAAGAAATGAAAACAAATAAAATATAATTATGCTAAATTGGGGGGAATATGACACGCAGATATTACGAGAAGCAGTCGTAAAATCTATCAAACGCCCCCACTGTCTTTTGTCCTATGAACTGTGTCGTGGTTATAATACGTTCATTTATCTTTCATGTTCCAGAAGCGTCACAGAAGCAGATAAACCCCTCGCCATAGGTTTGTCAGCGTTCCTGAATACTTTACTAGGTAAGCATATGGGAGATCTAGTAGACACAGTGCAGTTCACCATCTGACAAGCAGGAAGTGATCTATTCCGATGATGTGTGGCAGTGGTATTTCTAGAACCCTAACATATTGCAGCCACACTTAAGCCCCATTCACATGGACACTTTTACTTACGTGAGTATATACACTTACATAAGTAAATTTACTTATGGTGGCATGTGAACGCATTTGCTTACGTGAGTAAATATTCTCCAGGAGTAAAGAGACATGAGTAAAAGTATATTTGCTACACCTGATGAGGTCTAGTAAAAGTATATTTACTCATAAGTATAAATGCCCTTGGAGTATTTTTGGTCATGTGATCTCTCTTTCGCCTCTGGTTGACTATCTTCGACAGCAACATGGCCTCAAATGATAAAAGTCCACAATTTATTTATGAAATGATGTTTACTTCTGCCTTGCATAAACTTCATGTGAACGCAATGTAAATATACTTTTGCTTACATGAGTAAATATACTCCATAAATAAATTTGCTTACATGAGTAAATTTTGTCCATGTGAATGGGGCTTTACTCGTCCAATGAACACGCTATCAAATATCTTCGAGGACCACAGGGAATGGTCGTTCTCTCCACGGACATATGGCCTTAGTTCAAGCAGCACATTGCACAAAGAGTGAGTGTGGTTATTCGCACTTTTAGCAGAATTACAGCCACAAACTTCCGGGGACTCGAAGCATGGATTTCACACCTTGTACCACCTGGGCAGTGGAAACTGGGTCCTTGGTGTGACGAACCAACCCTTTGTCTTCTGGGCCATTTTACCGAATACTCAACCAAATACAGGAGCAGTTGGGTAGGCTAGTGGTAAAAGTGTTCGCTAGTAACACCGAAGACCCGAGTTTTGTTTCCCATAGGGGTGCAACGTCTGAAGCCAGTTTCTGTGATATTGCTCGTATATTACTACAGGCGGCGTAAAACCATACTCAACTACTAAATCAATTAAACATTACACGAAACATGAACGAGACACACATAATCTACGTTTTCTCGTGTAAATATTGACAATGTAAAAAGCAAAATTTTGTTTTCTATCGTGGTCACAATAGAATGTAAAGTAATTTTAAGAAAGCTGTTTCGAACATATATTGTTCACAGTTCCTAGTAATTGTTATATATGAGGTGAGGTGAAATGGATGTTTAACGTCGCGTCCAAGACTGCACTTCTATACCGACAAGCATTCGTGTTAGTGTGTGTGTGTCTGTGTGTGTGTCTGTCTGTCTGTCTGTGTCTGTCTGTCTGTCTGTGTCTGTCTGTCTGTCTGTGTCTGTCTGTCTGTCTGTGTGTGTGTGTGTGTGTGTGTGTGTGTGTGTGTGTGTGTGTGTGAGAGAGAGAGAGAGAGAGAGAGAGAGAGAGAGAGAGAGAGACATGAATACCCCACTCCGACACAGTATACTGACTCCGAGCCGTCCAGTCCTTGTTTTAGCCCCTTGATGTCGAGAGCCAAGCAGGGCAACAACAAGTACCATCTTTTAACGTCTATTGGTTTGGGATCATACACCGGATCTTCCGCTCTCCGGGCGGACGCTCACCACTAGACCACGGAGACAGTCTATTATACATGCATAATGATAAAAAAAGAATAGTACAGTAACTGATTTTCCCTTTCCAGGTTGGTTCCCAGGGCCTGTGTTTTTCGGGAAGATAATCGACACGACCTGCCGCACGTGGGCCACTTCCTGTTCCGGTTCAGGGGCTTGTCTTCTGTACAGTCTCTTGGACTTAAAGCTCAAGTACCACGCTGGGTTCTGCGTAACGAGAGGAAGTTCCGTCCTTCTCTATTTCGTAGCCCTTTTTGTCGCCAAGAAGAAAAAGAGACCTTTCTATTTAGAAACACCAAAATCTGACAGCGCCGAAAAAGAGAAATTTATTGTGAAAAATGGTGTAAACGGGGAACTGCGCCACAGTAAAGTGTAGTGTTCAGGATTTGTTATTGAGGCGAAAGCAAACGCCAGGAGAAAACAGGAATGGTACCGATGGGAGTTAAGTTAACACTATCTACTGTTTGTGAAGACCTGCATTGGACGGGTTGTAGCGCAGCTCAAGTGAGGGGAGTGTCAAAACTTGACGTATTGTAGTTGGATAAACAAGATATCTCTTTCACATCGACGGTGCATTAAACTGGAACTCTTTAAAATCAATTCTTTTACTCCGATACGATGCCCCTCTGCGCATGCGTGATGATATGACGACACCTCCATTGAAGGTCGCGTCAGGTGAACTTTCTAATCAGCAAATCATTGTCGAGTCTTCGATTGGATGAAACATTCAGACAAGCATATCATATTTTTCAAATAACGAGAACCAACTCAAACGACAAATTCCGAATGTAGATCAATGTTATAAGGTTTGTCAGCACCATACCCGTGCCCATGGGTTTCACCTAAGTGGTAAACGTCTCAAACCTGTTCCACTTCGGGCTTTCCTCCCACATAAAGCTGACACGCCGTGATATACTGGAATACTGATCAAAGCGGCGTTAAAGGGCAAGTTCACACGGAAATGAACCTAATTTTCTTGTACTTTTTCCACAATAAAAGTGTTAACCTAGAAGTGTCATAGACAAAAATATAAAAATATCACAATTAATTAACATATGTTTTGCATTAAAACGATTTATATTTTTCACATTTACCAAGTGTTCTATTTCCATAACAAAAACACCATGGCTTATGCCCCTTGCAATATGACGTCATTGGTGCCAATTGATAAACATTATGACGTCATCATGCTTTGTTAGAGCCGCTTCACGTGTTGTAGGTACAGATGTGTGATTCTAGCGTCACAGATGCCAGCCAGCATAGTGTAATGCTGAGTCACCACTGCGCCGGAGTGTGTCGTAGGCCATGTTGTTTTACCGAAAACTTGTACTTGATATCTTTTGCGTTCAGAATAGACAGGGACCCAGTTGAATTGGCACCAATTACGTCATAATCTAAGGGGGATAACTCAGGCCAGTTTAGCTCGAAAAACGAAGGCCTCATAACGGCATATCATTTTCACACTATTGTGAGCTTCCTACTTTCACTGTGAAAAAAATGAGTGTATATTTTCAAACACAGATACTAACTAATTCTAAAATTGCGTTTTGTTTAGAAAAAGAAAGAAAGTGATTTTTGCGTGTACACTTCCCCTTTAAATCCAACGCACTCACTCACTTATCGTTTATGTGCGCCATGGCTTCTACACCCAAAATGGAGTATGGTCGAAATATTTGATTTCTGTGCGGGTTTTCATTTATACGAATCAAAATATCCGAATCAAGGCGGTAAAGAATAAAGTCGAATCATTTAAGAAAGCCACTCTCATTAAAATCAGATCTTAGTTCTCGCTATCGCTAAACAAAGATCTGAGGACATCCCATTCCGGGTCACGTCAGAAGGACCTTTCATCCGACCAATTAAAGCATCGCTTACCAGATCAGGAAAGTTGACAGTCGGAATGTGTTTTCTGATAATTGCAACCGAAAACGTTAACACTGGGTATTCCGAACGACAGTTATGGCCCGTACGACTGATCCCGTCATTTGTCTCTGGCTTCCGTGGGATAAACATTTGAACGGAGGAGGCGTTGCTATAAAATCTCAACCAAATATTAGACATTCCGGAATGTTCGTTTGCTCAGTTTTCAAAATTTTAATCGAGAACTGTGTCAACATATTTGTCAAGCGTCATCTCAAATGGAAGTCGCCAGGTTGAAACGAGTGCCGTAAAGCTCGAGAAAGCTGCTTTCTAATTGACTGATGTCGACTTCTTGTTAATCATTTCAGTGGTGTATCAAAGTTCGCGAAAGGTCGTTCTGACATGACCCGTAATGGGATGTCCTCAGATCTTTGTTTAGCGATAGCGAGTACTTTGATCTGATTTTAATGAGATTGTTAAGAAAGCTGACATCTGATTGGCCCAAGGTGAGGTGAGGTGATTATAGTGCTAGCTCACAGAGATACCATGCCGCAGTTTAACATGAATACCCCACTCAGACACAGTATACTGACTCCGAGCCGAACAGTCCTTGTTTTAGCCCCTTAATGCCGAGCGCTAGACAGGGTAACAACAAGTACCATCTTTTAACGTCTTTTGGCATGACGCGGCCGGGGATCGAACCGCTCGCCCGCTCTGCCACCAGACCACGGGGGCGGTTGGATAGACACAAGAACCAACGCTTCTTTCATTTATACTAGAAGATCCAAGTTCGCCTAGGGTTCACCTGACGTAACCTACAATGGGGTATCTTAGATACAGGCTTCGTAATGGACTAAAAGATGTATCTTAAACAGAATGTGCATGTCATGATAGACCAAGCACCATGGTGTCTTATGGACACAACGAAGCGCCGTGAACCATGAAGAAAGAAACATTAATTCTGTGGTACTCTCTAAATAACATCTAACACATACCCTATGCAGAGATAGACGAGGGATGTTTATGAGTGCAGACAGGACGATCCCCTTCGTCCAGTGAGAGAGCAACGTAATACTGGGACAAAAACGTGTTGGATGAGAACATCGTCATTTCCGATTATCCAGTGGATTATACCTCTATTCTATTATGATAAATACCAAGGGACCATTCACTGCTCTAACACCGAGCTGAGTCCGATTTGAACACCGCTAATGACAGCCGTTCAATCAAATTACTCTCACGAGAAAGTCAGAGAAAGTCAGATATAGGGGCGCTGGAGGTGACGTCACTTCCTAAACGGAGCTATTGTGGCGAAAGGATTAATGATATTTATCCAAATAGAATGGAGGTATAAAGCCTGAATAATCGATGATACTCAAAGGGAGCGATTCTTTTATAACCACACGCTTATAAATGTTGTGAGCAGTCTATATTACCCCTCTGAATGTGTGAAAATATGTTAAGACACTGCGTTGGTCACACGTAACCTTTCTACTTTTCATCCAAATTCAAAACGACGTTCCCTTTAGATTTTTCAAATTGAACGTTTACTTCCTTAAAATCAATGATTTCGGAAATACTAAGGAAGCTTTGATCGCGCTTTGTAAACATAGAAGTAGCTTTACGTGTCGGTACAGCTTGAGAAATATCAAAAGTTTTAAAGTCGTGTTCTTGAGTACGGTCAGATCAGATTGATGTTTTTTTATATAGTAGATGTATAAAGTCATTTCATTGGTCGAGCTGGTGTATGAATGAAGCCATTTCATTGGTCGAGCTACAACCTTATATTGTTACAACTTGCTGGGTGTCCATGAACGACCTATTACATCATCCGCTGCATGAAGTTGGATGATCATTTTTATCTTTTTAGATACTATTAGATAGAAACTAGTCTCATGAACGTATTTTTAATTCCGTTTCTAAACAAAGTTTAAAATGAATGCTGTTTGCCCGAATCGCTCCATAAAACTTTATTTCGGAATTAATATTTAATATATTACTTTAAACTAAAATTAAGCAGTTCGGTTTTAGTGTAACCAGCTCGTTGCTGCCCGGCATTTAACACAAAGCCAGGAATGATCTAAACTTTAAATGCGCTGATCCGTTATATTTTAATAATATCCATTGTTTTACTATCCAGCTCTGACTGTTTTAGTCTGTGTGTTTCTTACGTACCTACACATATGTTATATGAATATATCAAACATCTTGGCACATACACATGCCTAAATTACCAGAATGTCGTTGACCGGAGTCGTGATCTGATGTCGCGTGATACTGTATGATTCATGTTGAATGTGATTCAAGTCATTTCTATATATTTTCTTCATAATTGTATTATTCATACATATTAAAGATTGCATATATGTATTAGCCTCTCTTTGTTTTATATGTTAATCAAAATTAGAAAGCTACGCAACACGACATCATTAATTATATTTATTTACCCAAACATAACTATCAACTTATCTATTCAAATGTGTAGGTCTAGTGTAAATCATGTTTAAGAATTGTTATTAAATGTTAAAAATTCTTTAGCCCATCTATTACAAAATATACCATAACTTTAAAAAATGGCCTTCTGCTTCAATTTGATTTTGTAAGTGTGTGTGTGTGTGTGTGTGTTTGTGTGTGCGTGCGTGCGTGCGTGCGTGCGTGCGTGCGTGCGTGCGTGCAGGTTTGTCCGTACTAATGCCGGTTTTAAAGTGCTTGCCCATTGAGATACCAATTCAGACAAGCACACAGACTCCGATCCGACCAGTCCTTGCTTCATCCCTTGATGCCGAGCGTCAGGCAGGGTAACACGTCCCATCTTTTGACGTCTTTTGGGTATGACGCGGCAGGGGATCGACCCACCTTCCTCTTTCCGAGCAGACACTCTATCCACTAGAACACGGATGGGATGATATTTAACCACAACAATGCCAAATACAGTGAAAGAGATTTTGTGACAGAGTGACACAGTGTATTATTGTGAGGTGATATGTTTTAGCTTTGTAACGTCCCCTTCTGTCGCGCGTATGTTGTCAATCGCATCAGTATCAACAGTTTATTTAAACGAGATCATCTGTAAAAAACATTGGCTTTCATTTTTCACTGGTTCACATTTATCATTTTCTGTGTATATTAACCAGTTATTTCTTGATAGCGTTATGTGGGTTGCGGCCCTGTGTCGGCAGAGGTAAGGGGTCTGGTTGATGAGGGCGCCGGAGCAGGCAATAGTGCTCCAAAACACCACTTCGACCCTAACTTTGCCTAGACGGGCGGTAGAATGGGCCCGATTCTATCAATCAGCTGGTCATATAATGCGCTTTGCATATAGTATTTCGCACAAAAATTGGCATTTTAAAAATAAATTAATTCTAAATGTCTAGTATTATATATGTACCAATCTATAAACTTGCCCTATGCCCATAACACGCTGGCTCATGGGCCAATCTGGTGATGCTGACCTCCGAATTCTGTACATCTCCAATTGATTGCCATGGATCGAACCAGCCTGACTTTTTATTCGGTAAATAGCTATAGCTTTTCGTGTCAAATTTGCTGGAGTAGAACACCCCTTTGTCCTCGGTCTTTGCAGCATGGAGATATGCTGCAGCATAAGACTGTCCTTGTTGACACTCGATTATGGGTTGGGAAAAGGGGTGCTGAAAACTTTCTCCTTTCGACATGGCTTCCCAACAACCTGGATAAAAAAGACGACATACAGAATCTTACGAGACTACTACGCCCATTGG